TTGTGTTGCTTAAACTTAATCTCACATACATTTAAATTATACACATTTATAGAACTGAAAAAGTACACTATGGATCAATATAAATTAAGCTACAAAAAATATAAAAGGATTAGTGATGGAGCAACAAATATGACCAGAAAATAAACATAGGAGTTTTTTGGGTTTTTTTTTTAATTAACAGAAGCTATTAATAACAGTGCTGATCACCACTTTATAGGTCACAAAGTTTTGGCATGCAAAGAAATTCCACTGAATCTCATAACTATACTGATATGGTATTGGAATTCTTTTAGTCCTGATAATTTGTTTAGGCTCTTAAAAGTCACTACTTACCTCTTAGTGATAGCTTTTGAACTCATTACATATTAAACTACTAATCCTAGATCTTAAACTTCTTAGTATCATTAAAGTTGGTGGTCAATTATACGGAAGATATTTCTAACACTGGAAGCATGGAAGAAGAGGAATTATCCTTAGGTTGCAACAATACCCATACAATAAAATTTAATCTTTTAACACCCTTCCCCAAAGTTTATAATATACTAGGTAAAGGGGTTTGGCTTGGGTTACATTTTTTTAACTGCCCAGATAAAAGACTGACTGCCTACTAAGAATATCCCATCTTCCAAACCATAAATAGGCCATTTAAGTTAAACTGAGCATTTGTTTCTGCCCTTCAGACAGATCTATTAGGCACAAACATACTTTATTTCCCTTACTGCTCCTCACAAGAGCAGAAGAGAGCATCTCCATTACAGAAGAAGCTACTAAAGCATAGGGATGTAGTCAGTTATTTCTTGATAAAGCACCTTTCTCCAGTGTCCTAACAAAATTAACCTGATAAATAGTCAGATGATGAATTACAGAAAAGAACAGCAAGTTAAAAATGAAGCAAAGAAGCACACTTCTGTAATCACTACAAAGAAATGCCAGTATTATACTACTATGAAGCAGCTAGCTGCTCAATGATTAGCCTCTTATAATAAAACTATCCACCAAGATTCTGGTGATTTAAGAGTCTTTTTTGTTAAAATAAAGATGAACGATACACTATGGCACCACTGGTGATTTGAAAACTCTCCTGTACAAAATACTTAAATGCTTAAATACTAATGACAATTTGTGAAATGCCTGTAGAATTTTGTACATAGTACCCTCTTTACCTCTCCTTTCTGCAAAGTTTTCTTCCCTCACAGCACATACCTCTTAACATTAGGTGTCCTTTATCGACATAAAACTTCTTGGCAGTACCCAGTACTCTGCATTTTTCTTCCCACGGCCATCCTCTCCAACCCCAAACACTTCAAAATCTCTTTTCAAGTAGCTGTTTTTAAAAGTCCCATTAAATATATTAAGTGCTATTAAAACAACAGCTTAATATTACTTCTCCCAGAAATGTTACCCATTTCAAAAGCATGCTAAGCCAAAGGTATGCAAAGTTTAAGCAGAATTCAGGCATCAAAGCACCCTCCATACAATGCAGCAAATCAATACCACAAAGGTGACACAGATCTAGATTATTAGACTGAGCCCGAGAATGAAGGTGAAATTCAGCTCTCTCCAACCCTCCCCTGACTCCATGCTGAAATTTCAAGAAGGGCCTCCTGACTTATTTATTGCAAATCCAATTTCCTGAAAATGCTCTTCATGAAAAGTTGGCAGGGACTGAATCCAGACTGAATCCTTGCATCATTTTCCTTTTCTACACAAGAACTGATTACTGATCATCAGCAAAATAAGGGTTTAATACTAAAGCTACCATCTACTCAACAGTTACTTTCAAAGAGGTGAATTAACAACTACATTTAGCTTAGATGCTCCCTAAATAAAGGTATTAATTCTTTCTCCAGCCAGCAGGTCTGAAATTAGACCCCTGTCTCCCACAAATAAAAGTGGCTCATTACCATACTAATTCTCAGTGTGAAGGGAAGACTTGGGTGGTAAGAATCACTGCTTAATATTCCATAAAACAACACTCTTGTTTCAATTAACCTTTACCTCTGAATTGCAGCATTCTACGTCTAAAAAGAATATGTGTACTTTCTGAGAATTTTATGTGGGGTGGGGGGGCCAGACTTAGCTTTATATAACTGGCACAGGAGCCTTCAATTCACTTTTTCTTCTAAATTTTACGAAAAAGAACCGATGTTACCTTTGAGATGATTCTGACCCACTTTCAAGATCAACAATAGCCACTATTAAGTGGCCACTACCTGGATCTGCGCTTGCCTAGATCTACTGGACTAATAATTTACATAAAAGCTAGCTGTACACACTATAAAATCAAACTATAAAATCGTTTTCTTTCCTACCTTTTTTCTTTACTCCTTAATCTGTACACACCTTTCAAAGGGTCACCCATCCACTAACACATAACCCCATCTCCACAATTTTTGCTTTAGGAATTCTCCTTAAGTGGAATACATTACGGACATTTTACACATGTAGTGTAAACTTGATAAATGAAAAAAGGATGAGAAACATAGATGTTCTAGAGTGGATCTGCTCTTGTGCTATTAAAGCTTTTTACTTCTATTGGATAAATACAATCCATGGAAACCACAGTTAATAAAACATTCACAGAGAGCAAGTTTAATTTCCAATTAAGTAAATCCAAATATGGATGTGTCTTTTCTAACACAAGTGATTTTCATTCATTCAACTACAACTAGATCAAAACTTAGTGGCTAAAGAGTACAGGCTCAAAATAGATCCTAGTTCTACTACTAACTAATGTAACCTTGGGCAAAGTAATTCTAAAATTTTGCTAAGCCTCATTTTCCTCATTCATAAGATGGGGATAACAACATCTGGCTCATGGGGTTGTGAGGATTAAATGAAATCATCTATGAAAAGCATATGCACTCTACCCCCAAAGCTGTCTCAGCCAACGTTTGCCATTTGGCTTGATGAAAGCTCAAAAGTAATAGTGGAAACTATAGCTACTTCAGGAAACTTTTCACTTTTAGATTTGGTTTGGGTAACGCTAAAAAAGGTTTAACAATATTAGTGAATATAAACAAGTAAACAAAAAAACTGCTATAACTCAAATATATTTTTTTCAGCATAAATGTATACCATAAGTACATAGAAGAAATAAGCCATTTTTCCAAATCTAACCTAAGAATTCATTTCAACATACCTGAAACAGAAAACACCTATTTAATCTCGCTTGTTAAAAAATGTTTTAATTTATACGGGGGAGAAAAAGCATGCATATTTACTTTCCACCCTACCCCCAAAAGCCAAATCTCTCCAAGGATCTTAATGATGTTATAAAAGGGAAACTGAGGAAGAAAGAACATCAAGGCTATTTTAACTGGCACTACTGGAAAGGCTACAGAATTGTCATACACTCAAACTCTTTTGAGATATGTCATGCAATAATCCTAAATATACATACCATACAAGTACTTATTCGAGCTATGTTCCATTATGACATTCCTCTGTCCTCAGTTTGACAGGAATATTAAATTGCCTTTCTTGACATAATTTGTTTGCTTTAAAATAACCATAGCTCAGTACGCTGGGGTAGAGGTAGCAGCCACTTACTAATTCTAGTACAACACAATCTGTTCCCTTCCTCTCTCAGAGAATTTTTGAAGGAAGAGAAGTCAGACTATCCACTCTAGAAATACTAAATAATTTTACATAATCCACAGACAATGATATTTATGAGGTTATAGACATATATTCTATGTTTCTTCATATTTCCAAGACTGTATGAAACTGTCCATGGTGGACTTTCACAAATGCTTTCATAATATAATACTACTACATAAGACCATAAAAAGACTCATGATGGACAGGGGTGGACTCTGTTTATACATCAATGTGTTTTCAAAAAGTTGTGTAAATAAAATCCTATCTCAAAGCAGTAAAAGTGGTTAAGGAGGCTGTCATTTATTAAAAAAAAAAAAAACATAACAGACAAAAATATCCTCTGTAGTTAATCTTTTCACAGTGTAAGTTGCCCTTTGGGTTTACGTTTTGGAAGTTTGCACGATACTAAACATTTTTCCTAAGCAAGCATGGCCACTGGAAGGCAAGCTGAATAAATTTAGAAAGAGAAAATTTACAGCACTTTTTTACACGTAGGAAATAAAAGCAGTCTTAGGGCAATCAATTTCCCATTCTTTTTATCATATTCATCAATAGAAAGCATGCTTAAGTGAGGAGACTTTGTTATGGCCATAAAAGTGATCGATTTCCAGATTTTTTTAAAAAACGGTAACGCATTAAATATATTCCACATTTTTGCCCTGTAATTATTTTGCACTACCTTTATTTCCCAAAGAAGGATGAGGAGCAATAAACCTTCCTCTCTAATAAAAAACGAACAAAGTTGTTCCATAAATTTGGAGAAACTCTGGAACTTAGGCAGAATTTCTCCATCAAGTGCTGTTTTTATGTCCACCTAGGATATTGACATACCTAATGCCATTCGACAGTCACTGAACACCAAGGCACCGGGTGGCTGGAGTTAAATAATACAAGTAAGGTTTTAAAGAAAAAAGAAAACAAAACACCAGCTGAGAGCCCATAAGCAGGAGGAACCTTAAGCAAGGACATGGGATTTTTTCGGACTGAAAGGTCCAAAACTAGACAAAACCTCTGGGCTTCCAGAAAGAAAGAACTAAAGCCCCAAGCGGGAGACCAGGTCATTCAAGTGGTCAGTAGCGCAGGTGAGGCTGAAACCCTAGGGTCCCGGCCCCCACGACGCTACCTGAACACCTGACCGCACGAAAGGAGACCACCGGGCAGGGCCGCCGCCCCAGGTGCGGCGCTCGGAGGGCGCCACCCGCGGCTGCTCCCGCCCGACAGCTCTGCACTCACAAGGCAGAGGTGGTGCCGAGCAGCCCGGCAGGTGCAGCGGGCGCAGCGCGAACAGACGCTCGGCGCTCGAGGAAGAGGGAGTGCCCCGAGTTGAGGCTGGGGAGAGGATGAGGGGTGTGAAGGACAGGGGCATCCAGAAGCAGAGAAAGGGGCCTAGCTCTCACCCTTGTCGCACGCCAGCAAGAAAAGCTTCTCATTCAGGGTGTTCTCCTCCTTCACCTCCCGCACATCCTTCAGCGCCATCACCTCGTTCGGCGACGAAGAGGAGGATGGGGAGGAAGGCAGGGAGGAGGAGGAGGCGCCCGAAAGGTCCGTGCTCCGGTACAGGGCCGCCATCATCGCGGCCCATGAAAGGGGCAGGCCAGGAGACGGGGGCGGGGCCCCCGCCAGCCCCGACCCCGACCCCCGGCTGGAAAAGGGATGAGTCGTTCCCACGGCCGCTTCGGCGCGCGGCCCGTTCGCCCCGAAGGGCGTCGGCTCCCCACGGAGCCAGCACTCGCCCTCCACCGACAGCCCCAAATTGGTGGCGGCGCATGCGCGGCCCCGGGGCCAGCGCCCCCTCCCCAGCCGCCGGCGCCCAGGCCGAGCAGCTCCGCGCCCGTCCGGGGACGGCAGAGTGGCCCGCGCCAGGGCGGCAGCCGAGCGCGGGGCCGTGCCAGGAGCCGCTGGGGCCGCGCGGGGGGCGGCCCGGCCAGAGTGGAGGACGAAAATCGGTAGGAAGGGCGCTCCAAGAGGCGATTCTGCACCAGCCGGGCTCCAGGGATCTGGAAACCGTCGACCGAGCTGCACCCAGAGATGTTCGCTGCTCTCCTCACGTCATCTTCCGCTCGTTGAGAGCGACGACCATGGGGCGGGCCCTGTGGTGGGCGGGACCTGGGGCGGAGGCGCAGTCCGCGAGCGCACCGCCCCCTGGAAGACTACCAGCCTCGGAGGAAAAGGCGAATGGCCGGGTGTACCCTCTCCACAACCAGGTTGCAGGTTTGAGGTAATTTCCCCGCCGTCTTGGGCTGCACACAAGTTAAACATGCAGCGGGGTGGTTTACTGAGCCTCTGATGACTTAACGTTTAGTCGAAACCCCCGCGTGGAATTGTCGAATTATTGCATATTCCTTTGTCCTCTGCCTAAACCAGAAAGGACAGGGCCCTCGCCACGCCACCAGACCTGTGTTCATCTGTGTGTAATTATGTCGGCTAGCTATATAATTGTTTCTAAAACTGTATTAAAAAGAAAAAAAACTCCTTTGTGATATAAAATTGGCATAACATTTCTAGTATCATACATTTATTCGCATGTAACCATTGGATAAGCACTCAGTCCTTACAGTGGTTTCTTGTTCATCTTCACGTTTATAACTCAGATTTTAGAAGATGAGTGTTATTTAAGCAAAAGCTAACCGAAGTGCAGTAAGTGCTACTTCCTTGAATATATATTTTTTAAATTAAGCTTGTATTTAAAGCAGATTCTTGCACCTTTAAAAGCTGAGGGAGGGGGACTGGAAATTGTATCTCGAATAATTATTGCTTTCCACAGCCAACTGTGCAAAAATCTAAATTGCGCCCATAGTGCTTAGGTTTTTAAGGCAATACATAAATTTACTTGAGTACGTGTATTTGAGAGAAATACTTCCTATTCTGTTCAGGTTGATTTGTTCCATCGCTGTCCCGGCCAACTCTAACTCCCAAATTTCCTAAATATATCTTTCTCATCATTCACAGTGCTCTTTTCGATCTTCTCTAAGAGGCCTTAGGTAGACAAGATTGCCCACCTTTCCAAACATTTTTATGTGTTTACTTCAAAACAGTTATTTATTAAATCATTTTAGCTTTTTCTCTCTTATCTCTAGTAGATCATAAATCTGCCCCATTCTCTAATGTTTAATACAGTTCTAAGTTTGTGTATTTAGTGGAATGTCAAAATTGCTCATTGTAAAAAAAAAAAAATGCTCATTGTAAATCTGTGGCCAGTGAACGGAGTGGTACCTATTTGGGTTTTATGTGAGTATGCTTACACACTCTTTGTAGTCCAGTAAAATTTTTTTCTCAGTAGCAGAACAACTCTAACCCGGACCCATCCAAAAGTTCCAGAGTGTTTAAGGGTCAAAATTCAGATGGCTCAGAACTCCAGAAACCACTTTAATCTGAAGTTTTTTCAAGCTTCTGGGTTTAGGTGATTCCTTTTCCATAAGGCTCCCACAGGGGCTGGACTGATTTCTTAGATTCAGGAGAATTCCAATTTACTTTAGGAGATAATCCTAGGAGGCATTCCAAAGTATTAGAGGGTTTTTCCTCCTTCAAAGTCAGCTAGTGTTTCAACTGTATCTTCAGAAGTCTTTTTGAGTCATCTCAGATGCAGAATATTCTCTCTTGTTTCTTGGATCCTTTTTCATCCAGTGTAAATTGGGGTATTTTAAGATCCTCTATATGATTTATTTTTCATCTGTGATATAGAAACCGATGATACAGCTATGATGAAGGGGCAAGATTCAGAAGCAGCATGTTACTTAAAGCAGCTCACCGAACCTCATATACTGAAGAGCCATCCCAACTCTAGTTGTGATGGAGAAGAGAAAATCCAGATTCAGATCTAGACCTATAAGTCATAGACCCTGTCTTCATCTCCAGACTCTCTACCTCTCCCTCTTAGGCCACATTTGCCTATTTCTTTTCCTAAAATGCCTGCAAGACTCTTCCTGCCTCACAGCCTTTGCACTTGTTCCTTCTACTGAACAGTTAGCATCTGGCTGCTCCTCCTACCATGCATATGTCAGCCTGACTATCACAACCTTAGAGAGACCTTCCCTGACCCACCCAAACTAAAAGCATCTTCACCCCAGTTCCTAAGTATCACATTTCCCTGTTTTATTTCTCTTAGTGCATTTATCACCATCTACAAATCCTATTTGTTTACTGTCTGTCTTTCTCCACTAGGAAATAAGATTCATGAGGCCAGAAAACTTTGTCTATATTTTTCTCAGCTGAATCCCCAGTGTCTAGTATCATACCCGGATCATAATATACAAATTTATGTTGATTAACTCAAATTATTTCATCACAAACTAAATTTGTAGAAATCATGTACTTGGTCTTTCCTAAAATTCTTCCTGTTAAAGAATCATAGAACCATCTTCACTCCTCCCAAAATAATAAATTTTTTGTTGCTGTTTTCCTCATTAGCGTAGGAGTTTTTCTCTTTTCTTTCCTGGAAAATAAATTTATGATAGATTAATTTTCCAAGTTATATATTTTTCTTTAAATGAAATAAATACTGACACATTTGTACATACACAGAATTTTTATTAAATATATTTTGTGAGAGAGAGAACACTCTAAAGTGCCAAACTGCATGTAAATCAGATAACTTAGTGAATATAATGGTGAAAAAAATCAAGAGGAAATGATTTAAATAGTCTCACAAAAGAGCAAGAACATATTTTAATCTTCATATAAGAAAACAATTATCAAATGATAAAAGGAAAGGAAATCTCTTTTGTAGAACATATTTCAAAGTTCCACCTGTTGATGATCTCATTTAAAAAATTCTCTTCTAAGCACATGAGTAGTCGTACTCTTACCATCACATATGTTTTAATCCATGGTAGAAAGGGGGTTTAGACTACTCATTCCCAGTGAGATAAAGTGACAGCATTTTTTGTTGCACAGCAGTACTGGTCACTGGCACTAACAGTGGAAGATGAAGGAAGTAAACTCCTGAACTCAATTGTTAGCAGAATTGGTCTACTGCTAAAAAATTCAGACAAAAATAGGTCTGAAGCAAAGCTACTGCCAAGTAACATAAGCATTAACCAAACATTGCCAATTTGAAGGAAACTGGGAAAAACGTGAAAATATGTTGAATATTAGCTTTGTGTTACTTTCTACTAAAGATATTCAGTGGGCATATTCTAAATTAGGGCTAGAATATCAAAAATTAGCATGTGTAATATGAAGCTAATAATATGGTATCAACATGTCTTGAGAGCTGTAGTCAGTGTTTGAAGTCAGTTGAAAAGTAACTATATGCACATCCAAAAGGAATATTTCTAAAAGAAATCTTCATGTACCAGATAGCTACAAACTGAAAAGTGTTACGCACCTAGTGGGGGCACAATTATTACTTAATGTTGGTTAACTGACCAATACAGTCATCCTTCAGTACCCAGAGGACTGGTTCCAGGACCCCCAAAAGGATACCAAAATCTGCAGATGCTCAAATCCTTTATATAAAACAGCTTAGTATTTGCATATAACCTACACACATCCTTGCGTGTACTTTAAATCATCTCTAGATTATTTATACCTAATATACTATGCAAATAGTTGTAAATACAATGTAAATGCTATGGAAATAGTTGCTGGCACTTGGCAAATTTAAGTTTTGCTTTTTGGAACTTTCTGGAATTCTGTTTTTCAAATATCTTTGATCGCCGGTTGGTTGAATCTATGGATGTGGAACCATTGGATATGCATGCATCAGATACGGAGGGCTGACTGTATACATACCACTTAAGAAAACCTGGGTAATTCAGGTGCAGGTCTTACCAACATATGTATGCTGCATGTCATAGTTAAAGCTGTATTACCAAACCAGTACATGTGAAGTATCGATGCAGTTAAAATTAAGTTTTAAGTAAAAAGCTCCTGCTACTTATATAAGAGAATGTACTTTGAAGTTTATTCATGAGTTAGTCCTTATATATAAAAAAGTTTAATGTTAATGAACAATACTTGTCATTAAAAAATTTTAGACAGTATAGAAATTTACAGAAAAGTTAAAGTTTTGGACCACTTCACATAGTTGGAGGGAAAAAAATAAAAGGATTAAACTGGATTATGACTTTGAATACAATTATGATCAAACTCAACACACACACAAAATCAAAACACATTTCACAGCAGGACCTGCAGAAAAAGTTTTGCATTGATCATTTCTGAACCATGGAAAAGAATGAATTAGTCTTGTTTTAATGAGATTTTCAGGAAACAATAATTTAATCATAAAATATCATCTTGAAAATGAACACACTCTTATCAGTATCAACTGGTAAATTAATTGTCAACAAATCCTAGCTAGTATGAACAGGATATTAAATTCATTAATGATTCATACAACTGTTTTGAGCATACAAATAATCTCTGGTTTTATACCCACTACATTTCAGAATTCTGTAAACTGTGAGGCATTCAATGTGTTTAATGTGGCAGAAAATCATAATAAATATTTCATTATTTTATTTTGTTCAGTCCTTTTCCCATTAAGCATGCAAACACTGTCATAACCATCTTGGGTTTCACTTCCACGAGGTCATCAGGTAAGGCATATATCCGGGCACCGATCTTTCGAGCAACTGAAATGGCATATCTTGAAAAGAAGAAAAATA